GTGACGGTTGCTCGTTCGGTCCATTGTTGTCCCCCTCAAAGAGACCACAGAAGATCTCTGCTGTCTTTGAGTTTGTGCTTGTTTGACTCCTGACTGATCTGTCTGACTCCAACAACTTCCTCCAGTGCTGCTTCCAGGACCCAAGACCTGTTTCGGATCTGAAATCCCACATTAGCGAAGGATCTTGTCTTCTAGGCTCTATAAACCTGTTTTAGATCTTAGGTTCAAGAGTGCCGAACCTGGCCTCAGATCTGAGCTTGCAAGCTTTTATAATGTCTTGAGTCCAAAAACCTGCTTGTACATCGGAGTAACCTTCCACAGATTTGAGTTTCTAGAGTCCAAAAACTGAACATAGTCCTGAGTTTTAACATTGCAATCTCGACAGCATAACAACCTGGACGTCTCACCTTTCAAGGTCCAGAAAACAATTCAGGAAATCATATTTAAAGACTTCTGGAGGTTGTAGGTTTCTAAATTCTCAGTTTCCACAGCAGATAAATCTGCTCCAAAGTCTGACTGCCATAGAGTTTAACGAGTCCTGACCTTCAACAGTCCAAGACCTGATCCAGAGTCTTTGTCTCTGCAGCCTAGTGTTCAACAGGTTGGGTCCTGAAGCTCTCTGCAGATGTTGGAGAACGAAACTTTAAGATGTTTGATTGTTTGAAGTGGACAGAGTCTGTCCTGGTCCTCATGGAGACGCCTCCACTGCACACGTCTCCCCTGAGGAAATGTTGAGGAGTTCAGCATCAGGAATTTTCGGCCTCTCCAGATGTCTCGGTGAGAGACGTCTCAGCCCTTTTCTGTCCCGAGTCTTAATGAATTTTAACAGCCACTTCCTGCCACCTGTCTGCAGGTGTGTGCTGCCTCGCCTGTTTAAAGCGACCTCTAATGTATAATAATGTCTGAAAGTAATTTCTAAACGTTCCTGTAGAAGCTTTCTGTAGCGTTTCAGCCAAACGTCCAAATATTCTTTAAAAACCAGCTGAACGACGTCCAAAGAGAAAAACAGGTCTCACCATTTTCTGTTCAAACGGTTTGTTTTCACTTTGTGTTTCCAGAGTTCAAGAACAAACCAAAAGAAATACTTTCCCATTTTATATTCCAGATGAACACAGGGGACGTGGAAATATATTTTCATAGATTGTGACAGGATGAGTTTAAAGAGCCAAATAGCCGAATGATAGAAACACTTTGACCAAAGGCTCCACAATGATCCTGAAACATCACCGAGTCTTTACAGCTTCTGTCTCTGCTACTGACAGTGACTCTGAGACCCGAGACCCCAAGACCAGAGACCCTGAGACCCTGAGTAACAAAAACCTTGAAATGGAAATGTGACTTTCTGTGTGACATTTATTTTGACTTAATGCATCCAAACTGGTTTTTAACTTGTAACTAACTTATAAGCAGAACCAAATCCTGCTTGTTAGGTTCGTTTTGAGTGTGTGAGCAGATTAACGAGTCTCATCGAGTCTCATCGAGTCTCATCGAGTCTCATCGAGTCTCATCAATTGAACTCACACAGTCTCAATGATAAGACCCACCAGATCGATGCTGTCCGTCATAGAGTCAAAAGTCTTGTTGGGTCTCGAGTCGCACTCATTCTGTCATGCCACATTGAGTCATGTCCAGTCTCATGGACCCTCTGCTGTCCTCTGGGTCAAAGGTCACCAAGTGTTTCTAAAAATATAAAAATGTTTATGATGTTCTTTTTCTAGAACTTTCTTCTTTCAGTTCATATTTTTCTGTCACTGCCGTTCGGTGGTGAGGAGGAAATTCTGCCAAAATGACCTTTTAAAATGTTTATTGTTGCTAATAATATTATGATTCTTACCTTTTTACTCTGTTTTCTATTGTTTGACTTTCTTCTTTCTGTTAGTTGAATGATGTGAAAATATTTTAGAATTTAAGAAATGTCGTGTTTTCAGCTGAAGGTAGAAACACTGATTATTAAACTCCTCAGGTTTCATTTTTTACAGTGGACATAAGAAGCCATTCATGTGATTATTATTGATTATGTGATTATATTCTACACAGACGTTCAGTGTTACCTGATTATTTTCCCTTGTAGTTTAATTTCAGCCTGTCAACACGCTGTAGAAACTAAAGATGTAGAGATCGTAGAGTGAGTGAAGGCTAGAACCAATGAGAAAAGTGATGCTTTAATGTTTCTGATTTCTTTTCTCTCAAAACATTTTATTTTCATTAATGTCATAAAAATGTTAAAACAGCATCCCAAAGCTTTAAACTGCTTTTTTAACAGAAGAGACGACACAGAAACATAAGAGTTCAAAACCAGAGTGACACCTAGATCGTGTTCACACGGAAGAAGAGTTACATTTTTGACAGTTTTTGTATGAGGTTTGGTTTGTTACCATCCTAAAGTTTCACTGGAGGAACTCTTCTCTGTATTTGAACGTGTTTCCGAGGATCTTTCTGTCTGTTGTCCTTTCTGATGTTTAGACACATGAAAACCAAATAAAACTGGATAGAAGCAGAAAACAGATGTCTTGTTTTTTTATTAACAATTCTTTTGAATCAGCAGCTCATGAAGGTTTAAGAAAAACTGCATTTTAACTTCACTGGATGGACTGATTATCTGGAAGTATCGATGAGCTGTCAGTATATTTCGCGTTTTTTATGTTTAATTTTAGTGTGGGGGAGAGCCGGGACGATTGAAACACAGCGATTTTCTCGGAGCCTAGTCTGATATGCCAAACTAGCTCAGCACATACAGAACACATACAGAACCGAGAAAAATCAGGTGGATACGTCACTCTTTCACCGAGTTATCCGAAAGAAGCTGTTTCCAGTCACGGAAAGTAAATTCACTCAAGTGATGAATGACGAGTTGTGTTTATGGTGTCATGGTCACATGACAGATCAGTTAGTGCTTTAACACATCCTGAAGTTTTAAATGTCAAAGTTTTACAGTTTAGAAGCGAGTGAAGTTTAAACATCTCGTCACCTTATTTAGATACGCCGGGGGGGGGCGGCAGAGTCATCCAGGCTGCCGGCCGGACCACCAGGATGCTCACAGCCAAATAACAGGGTCTTCAGAGTAGACCAGGACAACAGGCTGCAGATGTGGATAAAAAAGAGCAGCACAGATCTGATCCTAATGTGCATTAGCTGTTAGATTTTCTAGTTAGCTAGCTAAGTTATATTTATACTATTTTTTATTAAGAAAAAGGACATAATGAGTTTGCAATCACGTATTAAGAAGGGTAGTGTCACGCTTTCTAAATAACAAGAATAACAGAAACTATTTAAATGTACGTTGTTGTGTTTCTTCTGTCCTGCACAGACATGACAACAACAAATGATTTCTGTCTGTAATGTTATAAAAGGAGGTATATCTGAAAAGTGTTTCAGTCGTGCCGGCTCGCCCCTAATTTATCTTTATTTTATTAGTTCTTTGTTTATGGATCTTTTTGAATCTTTAAACATTTCAGGTGTTGTGTCTCAGGTGAACAGGTGTGACTGATGTGTCCTTTAAACACTGAACTCACTGCTGTCAGCTGATTGGTTCAAGTGAAGCCCGGTTCTCGGGTCTTATCCTGCTCGACCCATCAGCCAATCACAGGATCCTGCTATCTGCACTCTCAGCAACGGGCATCTCAGGCAAAGCACTCCTGTGGTTCGAATCCTACCTCTCTGGGCGATCCTACACTGTGTTGTGGAAAGGACAATTGTCCTCGTCCCACTGCCTCTCCACAGGGGCCCCAAGGCTCAGTGCTAGGGCCCCTTCTCTTCTCAGTTTACACCACCTCACTGGGGCCAATCATTCGCTTGCATGGCTTCTCTCACCGCTGCTACGCAGACGATGCGCAGCTCTACCTATCCTTCCCGCCAGACGACCCCACCGTCTCAGCGTGTATCACGGACTGTCTCTCGGACATATCTGCATGGACGAAGTCTCGCCACCTTCAACTAAACCTCTCTGAGACTGAACTCTTGGTCATTCCAGGCAAGCAATTTATCCACCATAACATCACACTACAACCTGGCTCCTCAGTCGTCACTCACCAGCGTGGTGAGAAACTTCATGACTGACCAGCTGTCCTTCTCATCTTGCTGCTGTCTCTCCGTCGTGACGCTTTGCTCTATTCAACATCAGAAAAATCAGCCCCTCCCTCACTCAGCACGCCACCCAGCTCCTGGTCCAGGCCACTCTGCCCTCCAGCTCTTCAGCTTGTGAAACCCCTACAGATGGTTCAGCAGTCTGGTTTCTGATCAGCCTAAAAGGACTCATGTTCCTCCATTACTCAGTGACCTCCACTGGCTCCTCGGGGCCTCCAGAATCAAATCCAAGTCCCTGATGCTGCATACAGAGCTACTACTGGGTCTGCAACATCTACCTAAACTCCATAATTCAAGCCTACGTTCCTTCTGGGCCACGGCGCTCCTCGAACGAACGCCGCCTGGCTCTGCCATCCCTTCACACAAAGCGACCTCAGTCCCTGTTCTCATCTGTGACACCACGATGGTGGAACGAGCCACCACACGCCATCAGAGCAGGAACGTCCCTCTCTGACTTCAAGAAGCTCCTGAACACTTCCTCTGATAACACCTCAAACCTCTAACATGCACTTCCTGTCCTTCTTCTTCTGTCCCCTCACAGTTCTCTGGTAGTGATGGCTTCTTCCCCAGGTATTCACCCCACTGATGCCGTACGTGTTAACAGCTCTTACTAGTATTTATTTTAACTTGTAGATCTCTGAATGTATTGATGCTTGTTGTTCCTCAGATGGAAGTCTATTTGGATAAAAGCTTCTGTCACATGAGTGACTGTAAACTCACCTGATTCTTTCATAGTGACGATGATCCAAAAGTAGAGCAGAGACGTTTTTATGAATTACCACAAAATGTCAATTATCTGTCATTAAAAAGATTATTAATTACCAAGAATCTGATAATTTTTCTGAACGTTAACGAACCTCATCGTCTTGTTAACATCGTTGACCTTCTGATGAAATGATCAATAAAAAGCTGTTCAGTTATCAGAAACATTAGCAGACTCAGATTTTATTAAAGGATCAATAACTGACATGAAGAACTTCCTGTTTGTGCTGGATACATTCATAATGTGATGAAATTAAACTGTGATTATTAACGTGGCATCAAAGCTTCTCTGAATCTGTGGGAACCTTCAGAACAAACCAAAACATCACCTCAAAGGAAACCTGGGAACAGAACCAGAGAACAGAATCATTGGATCAATAAAAGCTCTGCAGATTTCTTCCTGCGAGACTCGACTCATCTTCAGTGAAGAAACAGAAAACTTTTCACATCTAAAACAGAATTTTACTAAATCGGTTCAACATGAAAACATTTGCTCTGAACAGACGAACCAGATATTTCTGTCCTGTTGGAGCTGCAGGAAGTGATCCTGATCCACCTGCCGGTCCAGCTCAGGTTTTCACACTCGTTCACAGGTACAGAATGTGACAACATCAAACTCCTGTCCTCTGATTGGTCAGTGTTGGTCTCCTGCAGCCTGTTTGTTGTTGGCGGGGTCCGACTCGTGCTCGCCGCTGTGAGGACCCTCTCTGGCAGATAGGCGGTCCAGCGATCGCGGCGAGGCGTTGCTCCTCGTCCTGCGGCAGCAGGCGGCGAGGTCGGCCCTGAAGGACGGCGTGTAGAAGCCGTAGATGACAGGGTCGCAGCAGGTGTTCAGGTTCCCGAACACGAAGAGGGCGTGATGGACGTACTCAGGTGTGACGTGCAGCATGTCTGGCTGGAACCAGTACCAGATCCCTAGCAGGTAGTACGGAGTCCAGCACACCACGAAGGACAGCACGATGACCACTGTCATCTTCAGAGTCTTCATCCGAGCCTTCGGGATAATGTCGGTGCCACTGCGACGCAGGTACGACTCACCTGCTGAGAGAGGGAGGGGCTCCGTTAGTGATGTCAGTATAGTACAGGTGTGTCTTACTCTGGTCTGCTGTGATACAGGTGTGTTTCAGGTGTGATACAGAAGTGTTTCAGGTGTGTCTTACTCTGGTCTCCTGTAATACAGGTGTGATACAGGTGTGATACAGAAGTGTTTCAGGTGTGACACAGAAGTGTTTCAGGTGTGTCTTACTCTGGTCTCCTGTGATACAGGAGTGACACAGGAGTGATACAGATGTGATACAGGTGTGATACAGAAGTGTTTCAGGTGTGTCTTACTCTGGTCTCCTGTGACACAGGAGTGACATAGGAGTGATACAGATGTGATACAGGTGTGATACAGAAGTGTTTCAGGTGTGTCTTACTCTGTTCTCCTGTGACACAGGAGTGACACAGGAGTGATACAGATGTGATACAGGTGTGATACAGAAGTGTTTCAGGTGTGTCTTACTCTGGTCTCCTGTGAAACAGGAGTGACACAGCAGTGACACTGGAGTGACACAGCAGTGACACAGGAGTGATACAGGTGTGATACAGAATTGTTTCAGGTGTGTCTTACTCTGGTCTCCTGTGACACAGGAGTGACACAGGAGTGACATGGGAGTGATACAGGAGTGGCACAGGAGTGATACAGGTGTGATACAGGTGTGATACAGGAGTGTTTCAGGTGTGATACAGGAGTGACACAGGAGTGATACAGGAGTGACACAGGAGTGATACAGGTGTGATACAGGAGTGATACAGGTGTGATACAGGTGTGATACAGGAGTGACACAGGAGTGATACAGGTGTGATACAGAAGTGTTTGAGGTGTGTCTTACTTTGGTCTCCTGTGATACAAGTGTGTTTCAGGTGTGATACAGAAGTGTTTCAGGTGTGTCTTACTCTGGTCTCCTGTGATACAGGTGTGATACAGGAGTGATACAGGAGTGACACAGGAGTGATACAGGTGTGATACAGGTGTGACACAGGAGTGATACAGGTGTGATACAGAAGTGTTTGAGGTGTGTCTTACTTTGGTCTCCTGTGATACAAGTGTGTTTCAGGTGTGATACAGAAGTGTTTCAGGTGTGTCTTACTCTGGTCTCCTGTGATACAGGTGTGATACAGGAGTGATACAGGAGTGACACAGGAGTGACACAGGAGTGATACAGGAGTGACACAGGAGTGATACAGGAGTGATACAGGAGTGACATAGGAGTGATACAGGAGTGACACAGGAGTGATACAGGTGTGATACAGGAGTGACACAGGAGTGATACAGGTGTGATACAGGAGTGATACAGGTGTGATACAGGAGTGACACAGGAGTGATACAGGAGTGACACAGGAGTGATACAGGTGTGATACAGAAGTGTTTAAGGTGTGTCTTACTTTGGTCTCCTGTGATACAAGTGTGTTTCAGGTGTGATCCAGAAGTGTTTGAGGTGTGTCTTACTCTGGTCTCCTGTGATACAGGTGTGATACAGGAGTGATACAGGAGTGACACAGGAGTGATACAGGTGTGATACAGGTGTGATACAGGTGTGATACAGGAGTGACACAGGAGTGATACAGGAGTGACACAGGAGTGATACAGGTGTGATACAGAAGTGTTTAAGGTGTGTCTTACTTTGGTCTCCTGTGATACAGGTGTGATACAGGAGTGACACAGGAGTGATACAGGTGTGATACAGAAGTGTTTGAGGTGTGTCTTACTCTGGTCTCCTGTGATACAGGTGTGATACAGGAGTGATACAGGAGTGACAGAGGAGTGACACAGGAGTGATACAGGAGTGACACAGGAGTGATACAGGAGTGATACAGGAGTGACATAGGAGTGATACAGGAGTGACACAGGAGTGATACAGGTGTGGTACAGGAGTGATACATGTGTGATACAGGAGTGTTTGAGGTGTGTCTTACTCTGGTCTCCTGTGATACAGGTGTGATACAGGAGTGATACAGGAGTGACACAGGAGTGATACAGAAGTGTTTGAGGTGTGTCTTACTCTGGTCTCCTGTGATACAGGAGTGATACAGGAGTGTTTGAGGTGTGTCTTACTCTGGTCTCCTGTGATACAGGTGTGTTCAGGTGTGATACAGAAGTGTTTCAGGTGTGTCTTACTCTGGTCTCCTGTGATACAGGTGTGATACATGTGGTACAGGAGTGACACAGGAGTGATACAGGTGTGATACAGGAGTGATACAGGTGTGGTACAGGAGTGATACATGTGTGATACAGGAGTGTTTGAGGTGTGTCTTACTCTGGTCTCCTGTGATACAGGTGTGATACAGGAGTGATACAGGAGTGACACAGGAGTGATACAGAAGTGTTTGAGGTGTGTCTTACTCTGGTCTCCTGTGATACAGGAGTGATACAGGAGTGTTTGAGGTGTGTCTTACTCTGGTCTCCTGTGATACAGGTGTGTTCAGGTGTGATACAGAAGTGTTTCAGGTGTGTCTTACTCTGGTCTCCTGTGATACAGGTGTGATACATGTGTGGTACAGGAGTGACACAGGAGTGATACAGGTGTGATACATGTGTGATACATGTGTGATACAGGAGTGATACAGGAATGTTTCAGGTGTGATACAGGAGTGTTTCAGGTGTGATAAAGGTGTGTTTCAGGTGTGTCTTACTCTGGTCTCCTGTGATACAGGTGTGATACAGGAGTGGCACAGGAGTGATACAGGTGTGATACATGTGTGATACAGGAGTGATACAGGTGTGATACATGTGTGGTACAGGTGTGATACATGTGTGATACAGGAGTGATACAGGAATGTTTCAGGTCTGTCTTACTCTGGTCTCCTGTGATACAGGTGTGATACATGTGTGGTACAGGAGTGACACAGGAGTGATAAAGGTGTGATACATGTGTGGTACAGGAGTGACACAGGAGGGATACAGGTGTGTTTCAGGTGTGATAAAGGTGTGTTTCAGGTGTCTTACTCTGGTCTCCTGTGATACAGGTATGATACAGGAGTGACACAGGAGCAATACAGGTGTGATACATGTGTGGTACAGGAGTGACACAGGATTGATACAGGTGTGATACAGGAGTGTTTCAGGTGTGATAAAGGTGTGTTTCAGGTGTGTCTCCTGTGATACAGGTGTGATATAGGTGTGTGTCAGTTGTGAACAGCCGTGTTTCAGGTGTGATATAGGAGTGTTTTAGGCGTGATACAGGTGTGTGTTACTCTGGTCTCCTGTGGTACAGGTGTGATACAGGTGTAATATAGGTGTGATACAGGTATGATACAGGTGTGTGTCAGGTGTGATACAGGTGTGTTTCAGGTGTGATAAAGGTGTGTTCCAGGTGTGTCTTACTCTGGTCTCCTGTGATACAGGTGTGTTTCAGGAGTGATACAGGTGTGTTTCAGGTGTGATACGGGTGTAATACAGGTGTGATAGAGGTGTAATACAGGTGTGTCTTACCTTTGTTTCTCAGGTGCTGCAGGTGGATGTGCAGCAGGATGAACAGGTGTGAGACAGGTGTGATGCAGGTGTGAGACACATGTGAGACAGGTGTGTTTCAGTGGTGATACAGGTGTGATGCAGGTCTGATACAGGTGTGTCTTACCTTTGTTTCTCAGGTGCTGTAGGTGGATGTGCAGCAGGATGCGGCTGTAGCAGCAGCTCATCACCAGCAGGGGGACGACGTAAAGTGTGGTGAAGTGGAACATGTTGTAGGAGGTTTCCTGCCAGCGGCGGCTGAAGCTGCCGTGAGTCGCGCACTGAGTGAAGTCGACGCCCTCCACCCTGATTGCCCGGAAGATAAACAGCTGCAGGAGACAGACGCAGGAGTTTTACTGCTACCTGAGCACAAGTGGAGATTTATCAAGAGTCTCAATCCCAACTGACCAGAATGATGGCAGTTTATTAACAGGGGCTGTTTTTATAATAATGTCTCTACATTTCTGGAACAGCCTCCACCTGGCTAAAGACAGCAAACTAAAGCCCTTATTTTAATGCAGTGCACCTGCTGATGGTGAAGCGGGTTCTTGGTTCTGTCCCGGCTTCTCTTGGACTCCTGATAAACTGTTGCAGTGTTTCTGTGGCTCAGTGAAACTGTTTTTCTGTGTTTCAGCCTCTTAGCATTGTTAGCATTCCTTATAGAAACCAAGGGGAGCAGTTAGCCCGAGCTAACAGCAGGAGGCTTCACACTTTAATCTCGCAGAACATTCCTTCAGGGATTTCATGTTCAGGGTTCCACTGCAGCTTCACGGAGAACCTTTCACCTGCATCACAGGCCGCAGCAGGGAGCCAATCGCAGTGCAGATCACAGGATGATGAAATAATGAACAGAGCAGCTCAGGCCGACCTTCAGCTGCTCTTCCAGCAGATTATCATATCATAAATATTAATATGAATAATACTGAAGCTGCTGTGACATGAAGCTGCAGCTCAGACACTTCACACAACGTATATACACAGTAAACGCAGTATTTTGTAATAAATCCAACCTGTGAGACGACAGTTCCGTCTGTGATGTCAGTAACTAGTGGGACCAATCATCAGGGTCGTGGTTCTGGGTTTGATGTTCCCCTTGATAAGGTTTGCTCAGTTATGTGGTTTGTTCCACGTGTTCTGTTTTATTTTGTTAAATCTGTCCTCATGTGACTTCCTGTGTACTTTGTCGTGATTGGTTTTCAGCTGTCTGAATACCTGTTGTGTCTCACCTGGTATCTCACCTGTATTTAATCGCTCATGTTGACAGTTTCTGTCTCTCTGTGTTTGGATTAATTGGCCCAGTTGTTG